GGATGCTTTGTGTGGGTGGTAGAGACAGTGGGAGCAGCATGAGCTGCTGGGTTTAAGAGGGATTTCATTAGTGACATGCACTGTTTCTTCAATGAATTTCTTTGAGGAGGAAAGATGCTTGAATGAAGAATCTGGCCAAGTAAAATCCAGCCGGAATGGATCCAAATCCAGACTCCCACTTCCCCCACCCTTGCACGGCTGGACAAATAGTCACAGGAAAAGCCAGTTCAGCTGCGGGTCAAGAGCAGCCAAGACCTCCGGGCGTTCGATCCTCTTGGGCAGAGAACTGCACACGATGCCCTGGGCCAGAGTGGAAGGGGTAGCCAGGGTCCCGCTGGAGGAGGCAGCTGGGAGCCCCCAGCACCAGCCTCTTGGTTCAGTCAGTGGAGTAGGTGTAACTCCCAAACCACCCCCGGCGGGGTGGAGAATCGCATTGAGCCCCACACACTATGCTGCATCCCATTACCCCAGTCCGCGGGTGCTGCTCTCTATCCCTCCAAGGGCCGGGGGTTGCAGGGCACATGCCTGGTTTTAAAGACACCGCATTACCAGGCCCCGAACATCTGTTCAAAGTGGTGGAGCCGCTACTGGCTACAGCCTTCTTCACGGTTTCAGGACCGCCCGCGAGGGAGGCCCAGCAAGTGTCTGAGCAGGGAACGTGATAACCACGCGGCCGTCCAGCCAGGCCTCACTGCTATTAATGAAAGTCGGAACTAACCCGCAGCTCAGCCTTCCGGCAGCCCCGTTTCCTCACCTGGTTCATTCTTACCAAGGGCCCCTGACAAAGAGCTCGTTTTCATGGCAAAACTGGAACCATGGAAGGGGGAACTTCCACCCTCAGCCCCATTCTGCCATGCTGGAATCACCCTGGTTGCAGACCAGGCACCTGCCCGCACCCTTCCTCCTTCGCCAGACTCTGACTCGCCCAGGGACACCGGAGGCTGTTTTACACTTTGAGCAGCTCTCAGCCCAGCGCCTCCCCTCCACCACTACAGGGGGGGAAGACAGTCACAGCCGGCTGAAGCGACGGGTTTACACCGGATTTACCCTTCTCAGCCTTCATTCTAGCTGCCAGTAGCAACTACGGTTTAGTATACACCATGCACCACATCCACACACTCCCAGCTCTCTCTCTCTCTCTCCCTCTCCATTTTACCTGGCTGCAGTTTGCACCCAAGCCACACCGCAGTCTTGGCAATAGTACTGTAACTTGTTAACAAAATTCTGCTCCTCAGATCCACCCAGCTGGGGTTGCTCTGTGCTACAGAAGTGCAGGTTCTGGCCATTCCTTTCCCAGCTCTCCCCCGTCTGTAGGGAGGAGGGCTGGGTGGGAGATGGAAGGCCCCTCTCAGTCACTCAAAACACATTTATCACGACAATCTGATTACGGAAGCTGAACTGGGTGAAACCATTAGAAATGCTTTATTGTTATAACACACCACAGAGGTCACGCACCCCTCCTGGCTTTTCCTCCCAAGGAGACACGCAGCATGAGCTGTTGGATACAGGGATTAAAACAGGAAAGGGTTGGCAGAGCAGAAAGTGGTCATTTCACTGTCTTGATCAATGCAGCATGCTGCATTAACCCCTTCAGTGCTGACCCAACTGCCTGTCTAGGATATGAACCCAAAAAAGGGTCATGAGCAAAAGACCACGGAGGATAGCAGAACATTTAGGTCCCTGCCTGGCACTTCAGTGCACCTGACACTTCAAGAGTGCTAATTCCCCTAAGCCTGGCTTGCACGGCCTTTGTTAGCACGACAGTCACTAAAGCCCAGAGGCCGAGCAGAAGCGCGTTTCCATCTCTCCTCTGACATGGTGATAAGCGATAGCCCTGCCTGAGGGAGTGTGCGCACCATCGGAAAGGCCTTGCACTCTTCTCCATTGCCACAGTCCAGCATCTACTCCGACTGGCCAGAATGAGTCAGCTACGGTGAAATGAGAGTAGCCACAGAGGGCACTAGTGAGAGATTAAATACATAAAGAATGTGTTGTTCCAAAAAAACCCACCCACACACTGAGCTTGTGAGGACAGAGCTCCCTCTGGTGGAGAAACGTGCATATTGCAGAGACAAGGTGTTTGAGGGTCTTTTAGTGCAGTGGGTCTCAACCTGTGCTCTGCAGACCCCTAAGGGGTCCATGGACAATGTCTAAGGGGACTGCAAAAGAGACTGAAAACGTACTGAACACAATTCAACTATAGATTTCCAAGGGGGTCTGCACCCCATTAAAAAAATGTTAGGGGTCCCCAAATGAAAGGAGAGAACCCTGGTTTTATTGGACCAGATCTGGTGGTGAGAAAGAGACGCTTTCAAGCTTACACTGAGCTGTTCTTCAGGTCTGGGAAAGGTACTCTGAGTATCACGGCTATATACAAGGTGGAACAGATAACCGCTGATGCTAAACATATCATAAGAGACAACTCAGAGTGACCTGGCCTGTTAACACCTTTGCAGTAATACTATTGAATGGTCTCTCACAACATGTGTTAACGGCTTATGCTAAATCATCTCTTCCACCTTGGACTTAGCTGTGACCCTCAGAGTACTGCTCCCAGACCTTAACAAGAGCACTGTCTGGTTCAAAACCATCTCTCTCGCCACCAGAAGTTAGTCCGATAAAAGAGATTCCCCTCACCCACCTTGTCTCTCTCATATCCCGGGACCAACACGGTGACAACCACCCTGGAAACATGCAAACTGCAGGACATTCAAAGGCTTGAACTGGCAACAAAGTCTACTTTTAAAATAAATGGGGGTGGGGGGGAATAAAGAGCTGACTCGCCCGCTTTAGCTCTTGCCTGTCAAAGCCAGGCTTAAGGGCCAGTTCCCTGGTAGCTCCAAAGAGGACTAAGATGACACACACAGAAAGGGGAACGTGTTAGCCCTGATCTGTTGGTTCCAGAAAGAGCTGGGTTAAATGACACTCAACAGCAGTGCCACTTTCACCGTGAAAAGCAGAGTCCCCCAGAGGGCTCGAGCTGCTGTGAGGGTGAGGGGTCTCGCAGCACCCATTTGTGCCTCGGCTTTGCTGGAAAACACTGCTAAAACCTAAAAATATCAAGTTCCAAGGGGCCTGCCACCTAGAGGACTCTCCCATCTCTTGCAGGAGTGAGACAGCTCAGAGCCCAGCCCTTGGAGTTCCCCACACACAGAATCAAGGAAAACAAGATTTTAAAGGAGTACTTTTGCTGTTGGCCCTTTGCTACTGGAAAGCGGCACAGCCCCTGGGAATATTTATTATCTAGCACCAAGTCGCAAATTCCCCCAGAAGCATTCACCTAGCAGCACCCAAAGAGCTCTCTGGCTATCTTACATCCCACTGCCCCATTGCGGAGAGGGTGGATTGAAGGGGGTCTTCAAGCAAGGGACACGAGGCCAAGCACTGTTGGCGGCAGGCCCGGCTCAGGCTGACAAGGCGAGGTTGCAGACGTCCAGCAGAGCATGCTGGTTTCCAAGCACAGAGAAACCCAGGTGCCACCTACCAGCCCAGGGACAGTTTCTGTGAACACAAGGTCAGTTCAGGACAGAGAGTAAGCACCATTCAGGCTTTGCAGCCTGGGTCTCAGGTTTCTGTCTGATTCATCAGCCAACCTGTCCTGTATCCTTCTGCACCACGGGGAAGTGCAGAGCTGTCCTCTGCAGCTCAGTGGAGTCACACATTGAGCTTCTTTTTGCAAACGTGGAACATAAAAGTACACAGGGTCTTTGTGGTGATAATTTAAGAAACCACACACTTTGTTCCCAGGTACGGAATCAATCACCTGTTCATACGCACTCACGCGTTCCACCCCCCTCCCCCACACACGTGACACAGAATGGGGAGTGCGGATATCTGAAAGCAGAAGCCATTTCAATCCATCTGCATCTTGCAAAGGTGAGTCCACCTCTGGTGGGGAGCAGAGCAGTCGGGGGACAGCTTTTGAGCAGTATCCTAAGCCAGTGAGTCCCTGTTCTAGTTTTAAGAGGCTCATCAGATTCCTAGAACTTACGTTCTGCTCGTTCACACCTAGCACCATAGGTTTCCACAGGCAAATGGGCAACAGTGCGAGAGCGGAATAAGACATTCTGACTCGTGGCCTGGGAGGAGACTTGGCCTTTTCCATCTCACTGCAGGGCAACTTTTCTCTCACGAGTGCTGTTGCGGCCTATTGTAAATCAGGCCAATTGGCCTGTCGAGAGCACAGAGATCCCAGCCCAGAAGAGTGCTGGCCTCCCAGATAAGCAAGTTTTAAAATAAGATTCAATGGGAGGAAGTTCTCTGCTAGCAGCCTCACCACACCCACTTTTGTGCCGGGCCCAGCGTCATAACAGCTTCACTACACCTCACTCAAGGGTGCTTGAGCTGCAAGAGATTTGAAGTAGTAAAACTTTTCTCCTCATCCCTACGGGCTTCTCCTTCAGCAGAGAGGCTGTCGCTACCCACAACGTCACTGCCTGCAGGAGGTCAGAAGTGATGCTTGTGCTCAACTTGGCTGCATGCTGCCCATGCCCTGAGAGCGAGTGCTCAGATCCCAGTGCCAAGCCAGACAGTCTGATTTAGACAGTGGAGCCCCAGCCAGACGAGGAAGAGCAGAGGGACACAGAGGATCACAGCCAAAGGGAAGGTCTGATGGGTTCCTAGCAGTGCCGTGTAACATAGTGACTATGAAAACCATTTTTCACACTCCAGTGTTCCAAGACCAGCACAGCACTGGCTGCACAGGCAGATTTGCACTTGAAAGCAGCCTGTAGAAAGCATTTGGCTTTGGAAGTTTTACAGTCACTGTTTAATCCAGAGACAGCGCAGCTGAGTGAGTTTAGAATTTAAATTACAAAAAGAAAGCACTAGAAAATAATCTTGATACAAGAGCGATAATCTGCTGCGATTCCCTGCCCTGCGCAGGAAACCTCACTCCAGCACATTCGCCCAGCGCAGCTGGGATGCTACTGAGGCGTATCCTGTTCCCAGAGCATGCTGGGATTCCACACGGTCCATGATGGAAGTATTTGGGGTTGTCCCCAGGAGTGGAATTAAGATGCTGCCACCAGTTCTGGCTTGGCCTTGATCTTGACAGGTGATGCTTCTGTGGAAGAAAGTTCAGAATAAGAGAAGATAGAGAGTCAAGTCCTGCGAGAGAAACAGGACTCCTCTCTCGTGTCTCTGCAAGGGAGGAGCACTCCAGCAGCACCTGGGAAATCTACTGAACGATACACCAAGAGCAATTCTATTTATCCAGCATCTCCCTCTGCCCCACATATTGCTCAAGCAGTTAAAATACAATCTTAACAAATACTGGCTACAGTCTAGAAACCGGAGCAGGAAAGACCAGTGCACTGCATCATACAACAGAAGGTCAAAGCAAGCAGTTTCTGCAGGGCACTGGCTAGAGATCTCCCTCCTCTGTGTGTTACGACAACATGCATCCTCACAGGGACTGAGCTGGCCCTCTCCAAGTAGAGCTCACGTTAGGGTGTGGCCAGCCTGCTACTGATTGACAGCCTGGACTGACTGACCCTTGTTTACTGTCCAGCTGTCACAGCCAAAACCAGACGTCCTGCGGCTTTTACTGCTCCTGGCTCCTACAATCAGGAGGCTGGATTCCTTTCCTACAGCGAGGGGAGACTCAGCTCCACAAACCCAGCGCGAGTCCAGCCCCATTTCATCATTCTCCCCCAGGGCAGGGGTTCTTTGAAGCTCTTCCGGCAAGGGCAAAGCCCCATTTCTCTGGGGCCAGACTTTAACTCCTTCCTCCCCAAAGCCAGGCTAAGGCCCAGGAGTGTCACAATTCACCTGCCCTTGCATTCTGACTCATCATCTACTCCTTGTGCTATCTGCACAACCCCTACAGCGCTGTCTCCTGCACTGGATGCTCAGGGGCGAGGCAGCACATGGGCCCCTTCTGGAGGCAAGCAGCATCACCTCTGCAGAACCCAGGCCCCAGGGGTCCTAGAGTTCTGAGAGACACGGGGCTCATGAGACAGCGATGGGCCTAGTTTATGACCCTAAAAAGAGCAGCAATTGGATTGGAACTGGAGCCCCGCTAGCAGCAGCACACTGTGATAGCAGCCGAGCTGGGAGGGATCCCAACCGTTTCTGGTATCAGACTCCCAAGCCTGACCCACGTTCTGGGGGAGAAACACAACAAGTTCTCTAGGGGTGAGCTTAGCACGCTAACAAGTGTTTTGCATTGTGCTGTGCCAGGAAGCCTCCCTGCCCGTGAGAAATGTCACTTGGGATGGCCTGGTTTACCAGAGGGTAGGAGCGCTAGACCACTGTGCAGATTACGAGACGCACTGCTGAACAACATGAGAGGCTGGACGGAGGCTGGGCCGTGGGGGTGCTGAAGGTCCAGGATAAGCTGCAATTGTCAGAAGAAGCTTGCATAGCCCAAGCCCACACTGCACCAGGCACCGTTCAGCCGCTCACATTC